AGGAAACGGTCGGCTATATCATAAGGTTAGACACAAACGGTAGCTGTAGCTGTCTTTCGCATAGACTAAGTAAATTACACGCATCTCCCCTATGGACTTCTGGTGGAAGAGGTCGGACATAACATATATCATCGAGGCTCCGACTCGGACTCTCGTAATTGGTTGGCTGTGGGAGCGCACGTGCCCCGTTGCATTTTTTGTGAAACGACCGAACACCTAAAGCGTTTTGCTGTTTCGTTTTATTTTTATTATTATTCCACTCAAACCTTTCGTAAGAGGTAGAAGGAATATTACAAAATAAAAATGGTATACAGTGTCGAACAAAAAATGTATATTAAATGGTATTGTCGCGAAGAAAGTGCAGAGGAAGTCGTTGGTCGATTTATTATTTTCATACCCCGACGAACTGTTTTGAATATTTTTCATAAGTTTGAGGTGTCTGGATGTGTTAATTGGTGTACGAAATGTAGCAATCAGGAACCTGGTCTAATTCCTGAAGCAATGAGAGAAAAAGATGTTAATGTTGTGGAAGTAAGTGAGCCGTGTTCTTCCTCCCAAATTTCCGAAGAACTTGACATTCCAAGTCGTATAGTTCGTCGCAAGAGGTTGGTTACAAAGCCTATAAAATGCAAACTTCTCAAGAAGTTATTCCTGGTGATCAAATAAGGCGTATGGAGTTTTGTGAATCCATTAGGGAAAAATGGATGAAAATAATGAATTTGCTAGGCAGATTTTATTTACAGACGAATTATCTTTTTCCCTACTTGACTTTCTTAATTCTTCAGTGGTCCAATATGTCCCGGGAAAACAAGCATTTAAGAACCTATATCATTAAGAACGAAGTACTCTCAAAAGGTATATGTTTGGGCTGGCATTTTAGACGATAATATTGTAGGTCCCTTTTTTATTGATGGTAACTTCAATGCTGAGAGATATTTGCATTTATTACAAAATAATGTACCAGCTGTATGAAACTTGGATGTAAATTTTGAGGAAATTTGATTTCAGCAAGACGGAAGTCCTGCACACAACGTAAGGCCAGTTCAAGATTATTTGGAACATCTTTTCCTAAAAGGCTTATTTCCACAAGAGGTATCATACCTTGGCCTCCTCGATCTCCAGATCTGACACCCTGCGACTTTTTTTTATGGGGTCATTTAACGCAACTTCTCTACAAACATCGACACGAAAGAACGGCAATTTAGGACGAATTACGACTTAAAATAGGGTATTGTGAAGCTCAAGCAGGTGGCTTGTTTGAACACCTTATTAGTTAATAAACTTTTATTTAATAAGCATTTGAAAATAATTCATTATTTTGCTTAGGAATTACCATTCATTTTATTTTAGAATAAGGTTTTAGTTTTTACCAAAGGTTATAAATAATTTGTAATAAACTTGGAATGCTTTAGTACGGTCTCAAAACCTTTTATCATTGTTGTAAAAAAATATCGTACAAATAGGGTAATTACTGTACGTATGGCTTAGAGCTTAGAACTGTAGGCTTTNCTTCATAATGTATAAAGAAATTATTCAATTTGTAAAACCCTTAAAGGCGTACTTCATTGGTTCCCTTGACAGACAATGATTTATTACTTTGCATCGAATATGATCGTACTATAGTTTTTACTAAAGGTTATAAATAATTTGTAATAAACTTGGAATGCTTTAGTATGGTCTCAAAACCTCTTATCATTGTCGTAAAAAAATATCGTACAAATAGGGTAATTACTGTACGTATGGCAACACTGCTGTCAATTCCAGGCCGTGGCTTGTAGTCTTTATGCCATCGCAATAAATCAAAAACGTAATTATTGTCCAGTATTCTATCTTCCGTATGTACGTATCTTAGACGTACGTTGTTCCCAAATGCCTAAAGCAAGACAGAGACAATAAACCAATAGTCAAGGAGAGCTTAGAACTGTAGGCTTTGCGCATTTCTTATGCGTTTTTTTATTCCCTTATATCGATGGCATAAATTTATACAAATGATATGGTGGCGGAGTCAGAATTATTAGGGGAGACTGGTGAAATATTTATAATTTATTAACTCTGTATCGGAAATAAAAATATGGCCAGACCTGTATAAACAGATAATTTAAGTTGAAACCTGTAATTTCTACATTTACATGTAGTATAAATTGTGTTTAAAAACTCAGAATCAGTTTAAGTGTGTAGAGTCTAAAGATGAACCTAACCTTAAATATTGTGTCAAGTTTGCAGAATAATGTGATGGTATGTAGGCTGCAACAGCTCTGTTTTATTAAAAGAAACCATAAAGTTCCAATTTCATCCAACACTGTTACTTCAAGCGTCACAGTTTCCTGTTGATACCACTACCTGTCAAAAACTTAACGTACAACTACAAAAATGATTAACACATCACGCATTTGTTAACAGAAAAGAGTCCGTCTGACATTTGTTTGCAGTCAGTGTCGCCTTCGCGATTCCTTCTGTTTTACCCACATACTTCTATCCTATACTGATCATTACCTATAGTTTCAATGGATGACCTTGTTTCCAAAAAGGGGGGGCGAGACGTACTCCGTGTGTTTTGCGCATGTTCCATAATTAGGCGCGGTTGCATTCAAATTTAAAAGATTGTCACGGCATGCTCTGTACTATAGCCGATTATATACATATAAGATATTAAAATAAATAACGTAAGTATCTGCATAACCTATTTAATATTTTGCAGGCTCAAATACAATAAAACAGAATACAAATTTATATGCTTTTAAAACTATATACATATGCATGTTCGTAATTTTGGACATTTTTTAAATGACTGGTTTATTTATTAAACAAGACTTAGTATTTCAAAAAATCGCCACTATTCGCTCAAGCCGGGCACAACTGACAATCTTTTTTTTATAAAAAAAGTTCATTATATAATTATTTATTATAATGGTTTCTGCAGTTTATTTGATAATATAAAAAAAACATGCTATAAAATATCTGTAAGAGACCAATCCGATAATAATGTCCACGATTAAGGTGGCCATATCCCTGGCCGAGAAATGGTGAAATTTCTGGCATATTTAGGTACTGAAATCTTGAAAAGTAAAACGTGTAGAACAAAAGTAAGCACAAAAATAAAATCCTTGATGTTTTATTTATTCATTGTTACCATTTAAATTTACCCAAATAAAATAATAACAAAAAAAAGCGTTTGTAAAACATGCGTTTTCTGTTTATCCTAACCCCACATTTTAAGAATTATTTTCACGTACTTATAAATAAAAGTAAACAATTTTATATGTAGGACTAAGGAAGTAAATGTAAGAATATTTACATGTGGAGTTATATATAAAAAAGGTAGTATTTTCGTAGATTTCAGTACCTAAAATCTTGATGGTTTGATTGTTTCTTGCACCTGTTTATTCGTTTTACTGCGGCGTCTTTGAAAATACTCAGGTGGCATGACATAACATTCCTATTATTTGATAAACTTTAGATTATTCAGTTATTAAATGTTTGAAATTATTTGTCTTTGCGGAAAACACTATTTAAAGANGACAACAGGAGACACGCAAATGAGTGAAATGGAAAACAAGAGAAGGTCGACACTAGTTGGGCATCTCGTTGCCAGGTCTGGTTTTCGTCTTTTCGTTTTATGAATCATAGTGAACGTTTGGTAAATCATTATAACAGTTAGGTATCTTGTTTTCTGCTTTCATATTATTTACAAACTTAAAAATGAATTAAAAGAAATATTTAATCCTCATCCTTGTAAAAAATTTCCTTACAACTTCTTTTTGTCACTTTTTACTCGGTTAAAAATTTATCATGTATTGAAGCAAACAAATCTCCAGTTAAGGCAAGGAAAGCCTATTCAAATTCAAAAACTTAAAAATTTACATGTATAATAAAAAAAACACTTAACTAAATGTTAAATAAATCTAGGATGATTGTAGGTTTGTAAGTTGTAGTTGTAAAATGAAGTTTTATAATAATTCGTGAAACCTTTTGTGTGTGGGGAAAATCATTAATTGTTAAGTAGGGCTTCGCAAAATGTTGTTTGTTTAACTTTAGCTATATTTAACTCAATAGTAGGATGTAGGATGTATAGTATTTATATAATATATAGCCCTATAAACCAACTATATAAAATGTAAGAGTACTTATAAATAGCATTTCCCTTGTTAAAATAAATAAGTTATTATAGATCAGTTTTTTTATCTACTAACGATCATGTTTTTCTTACTTCTGAATTTTGTTCGATAGAGTTCAACAAATGATAATATGTATATGTGTTCCGATCAGATCGTAACATGTGCATTGTTGACAATTTTTAAAAGCTGCTCCATGTTTCTTGTTTAGGTCGTAGAATATGCTGATTAGCTCTTCTTAGGAAAGGCAGGATATTGTAACATCGTCTGCTGAAGTGTAGGGAAACTTCGAAAAAGTATGAAAACGTTTAAACCTAATATCTACTATGAAAGTTACAAATATGTTATACCATAAATACACCATTGTATACGTGTATGCTTTGGTGGGCAGCTTCTTTAAAATACGTAGTTAAAAGTATTTGTTGGTATTTTTATAGGTAATTTTATTGAGCTATGGATATTCTGACTGACAGCTGTTTTTTATGGTAGATATTTAAATTCACCGTATAATAAACAAGTTCAAGGTATGTAAATAGTTATGTTTTATCAAGTTTATAATATTAAGACTTTATGATGCAAACACTCAACCTATTACATTGCCCAATTTCAAAATTTAATCCTTACATTTAGGCCAGTATCGGACGTGGCGAAGCCGGTCCTGTATTCTCGTCCGATCGGAAAGGCAATGTCAAATGTTCATTTAATGAATGAATTGTGTAGATCTACGCGTGCGCCAGGCACAACAGAAATCGTCGAAAAAAAAACGGAACTTGCTAGATAGGAAATTACATTATGTGAAAACTCTTATTAGTTTATTCTCTTTGGTATAGGATAGAAGTATGTGGTTTTACCTAACAAATCACACATACGACCGTTTTTTTTTTGCAGGAACGGCGTGAACGTAGAGGGCGCCACCCACAAGCAGGTGGTGGACCTGATCAAGTCCGGCGGAGACGTGCTCACCCTCACCGTCATATCGGTGACGCAGCAGGTAAATCGTCGGTAACTATCCCTAACTGTCAGCACGTCTTTTACCATTAAAACGGGCCATTTTAGGAGGCGGAACGGCTGGAACCGTCGGACGACAGCCAGGTGTACTACGATTACAGCGAGAAGAGGTCGCTGCCGATCAGCATCCCCGATTACCACTACAACGAGAGGGGCGGGGAGCGGTACGTCTCCTTCAACATATACATGGCGGGCAGGCACCTGTGCTCCAGGAGGTACAGGGAGTTCGCCAAGCTGCACAGCGACCTGAAGAAGGAGTTTATGGGTGAGTTGGGTGATTGCTTTTAAAAATTTCTTGGTTGTGAAGCTTAGAACGCCTAAAAAAAGTCATCGATGAATAAGATACGCAGATTGAGCAAATACTAGTGATGATTAGGCCTGTCAGAGAGAGCCACAATTCAGTGGCGTGCCAAGCGGATCAACCGAGACATGCGCGAGCCGCTGCCTCAGAATGCTTTTCACGTTCATGTCACGCTAGTATGCTGTTGCCGTTCTTATTGTGCGGATGTTGTTATCCGATAGTGTTTATGATGTTGTATTGTAGACAATTAATTTGTTGCATTTTAATAAATAATGCGTACGGAAAATTTGCGCGGCCCTAGTGACGATAGTCACTACACAATAATGACTAAGTCAATGTCCATCGAATATTTAAAATAACTGTTTGTAGTAATTGCATTTTTTTATCTTGTCAAAGGTAACATTTCGTGTAGAGCTTAAAAAGTTATCAGATAAGGGAGAAAAGGTATTCACATTGCAATTTTAGGCCAATCATTATAGCGTTTTTTCGGGAAAAAAATACTATTAGAAGTTTTTCTGCGGAATATTGTTCAGAAACTTGTTATAAACAAAATATCAAAAAATCAACTCGAGACTAGTTGGGAAACTTTGTTAAAACAATGGTCAAAATTATGAAAAAGTAGTTTTTCGACTGGCGTAAAAAAACTGTTATTCATAGAGAAAAAAAGGTTTATACAAAAAAGGTAGGTATTAAATAAATCTGTAAAATAAGACAAGTCCGATTAAATTCCGATAATTTGTTTATGCGCAAGAGCTCAAAAATGGTCGAAATTGTCCGCTTTTTTCAATTGCTAATAATTAATGCAATTTTCATCGCAGACACTTGTAATTCAGGATTTTTGAAGCTTTTTGCACCCTTAATAAGTGGTAAAAATTTCAGCCCAAAAACTTCATTAGCTTGGCGTTGGCGGAATTTGTTATCTAAGAAGATGCTATTTTCAATTCATTTTTCCCAAGCTCACAGGCGTTGTAGGGTTTCGATCATTAGTTGTTTTTGTACCTAAATAGTTGTATTGACATATGCATTTACTGATAATTTAATTTTTCAAATTTAATTTGTTTAAAAATGACTGAAAAAATGTTAATATTTATTACATCGTTAAGCGCGCATGCTAAGCCTCGCCTTCCCCACTCGTTCGCTAGACCAAGTAATAGAACGCATCGCCGCTATCTTCTTTTTCGAAATTAAATAGTTGAATTCACCTTAATGTTAATGTAGGACATGAAAATATAGCTCTTAATGTATACTCTCTCCAAATTTCGGCTCTTAATATTAATAATTAAGGTCACTGCGATTAAATAAATAAAAAAAATTATCTCAGCTTCTAATCAACTTACAACAACGATTTTTTTTTAAATTCGAAGAAAACTAAAGTAAAGAGGTTACTATTTTATTTTATAATAATTACCTATCTTAACAATTTAATAAATATTAACATTTTTTCAGTCAATTTTAAACAAATTAAATTTGAAAAACTAAATTCTCAGTAAATGCCTATGTCAATACAACTATTTAGGTACAAAAACAACTAATGATCGAAACCCTACAACGCCTGTGAGCTTGGGAAAAATGAATTGAAAATAGCATCTTCTTAGATAACAAATTCCGCCAACGCCAAGCTAATGAAGTTTTTGGGCTGAAATTTTTACCACTTATTAAGGGTGCAAAAAGCTTCAAAAATCCTGAATTACAAGTGTCTGCGATGAAAATTGCATTAATTATTAGCAATTGAAAAAAACGGCAATTTTCGACCATTTTTGAGCTCTTGTGCATAAACAAATTATCGGAATTTAATCGGACTTTTTTCATTTTATAGGCTTATTTAATACCTACCTTTTTTGTATGAACTTTTTTTCGCTATGAATAATAGCTTTTTTTCGTGAGTCAAAAAACCACTTTTCCATAACTTTGACCACTGTTAAAACAAAGTTTCCCAACTAGCCTCGAGTTGATTTTTTGATATTTTATTTATAACAGGTTTCCGAACATTATTCCGCAGAGAAACTTCTAATAGTATTTTTTTCCCGAAACAGGCTCTTTCATGTCTATAATGACTGGGCTATTTTTGTAAAATACATTTTTAAATAGTTCGTCATTTAACAATCACTAGCAGATGGCGTAACCACTCTCTTAAAAAAAGAGTATCCTATATTTTTTCGTATTTTTAAATTTCTTATATGTAAACTGAATGCAGTATCTGATTTAATTTTGTTTTCCCTTTAAAAAATTGTAAGTTACATTATTAAGTGTTTTATAAAGCTAATTTGAGATTGCTGTTATTTTTTCTTCATTTAATGGGGTTTATTTGAATTATATTATTATTCCAAGACGTTTTTAATAACTAGTAAGAGTGTAGCTTCCCATTATCAGATAGAACCGGAATAATGAACATGACATTGCTGTAATTATTTAAAATAGGTATAAGCACGCCTTTTCAATGATCTCCCGGACTATCATAGTCATAGAATCTGCGCAGGTCCCAAAATCTATTGGCTATACGCATGCGCCCGAGCACAGCTACGTCGTCCTGTCAATTTGGAGATTTTCCCTCAAACTACGAATTTTTTATGTCGCCAACGTCAAAATTGTTTATTATTATCGTCTCAAATTGGCGATTCCCCACCATTTTCACAAAATAAAGCAGATAAAACATAACCTCGCAATTTATTAGCATTTATATTATTTTGTATTTCAGAGGTAACTTGGAGTTACTGGCGGTTTTTATTTATTTTTGTGTTTGTTACACGTGTTAGAATTGTGTGATAAAATAAACCATATACCTAGTGTAATTGAAGTAGTGCTATTTGCGAATAATAAAAGAAATTGATTTTAAAGCTACGGTTTTAAGAGATTATGCTGGCGTTCATCGCGGGCAGAAAACACTAGATTACGTCAGCAACGAACGTGGTTATAATAACACTTGTTATTACTTACAGCAAAAGCTAGCATTTTCTTTCATCTTGAAATGTAAAAGAAGAAGCCGAGGTCTTAATTGCTAACCATACTAGTATTAATGAACTGTTAAATCTCTACCACTTTTAAATTTGCACCCAAGTTCACTAAAACATGTATCATTATTAGTTCTTGGCTTGGGACTAACCTTTTCACAAAAATAATTAAAGATTCCTGTAATACGATTTTTACGTTTTTGTGCAAAGCGGCGGCAAATTTAAATAGTTATTTCCCTGTATTCCTTCTTTGTTAATTTTTCGAAGTGAGAATTAGATAATTTAATCAGAAGATATCCTAAACCTATTTCTTTGTCTTTGTATTAAATTAGCAATTCTTTCCATAACATTGAAAGGATTATTATTCCCATAAAAGTGGTTCTTGCTTTATCTTATATGTATTAATATTTCCAGTTCCACAACCGCGTCAAGTATGTAGTAAAAGTGGTAGCGTAGAATTTTTTTTAAGCATAAGTTACTGCATAAACAAGGTTTTATAGCCTCGTGTTAAAACCGGATCGGACAACGTTTGTTGGTGTGTAAAATTAAAGTGTCTCTATAGGTAAACAGTAAACAGTTGTCTGGCAAGATAAGGATAGCTCTTGCAATGGGTAGCGATTTCTACTTCAAGTTAATTTTTCTTAATTTAAAAAATGTAAAACGGAGCCACGTAGTGTCGTGTTTCGTTCTTTTATAACTTTTTCTTTGCCGAGGCATTTTACGCGTACTTTGTCGATTTTATTTTCAATTGCTTTGCGAAAAAATGTTCTTGAGAGTCTACGCATAACAAAAATTTTTCTAGCAACTGTGAAGACAAATACATGCACACTTCCAGTATACAGTTTATCTGCAAATTTAGTGCATCATATATTTATGTAACTGTAAAAAAATTTGTAATATAGAATTCCACATTCTATGTATTACCGACAAACCTATTTTCGCCATCTCTTGTTGACATACAGAAGTAAATCGGGCGGTAGATTTAAATCGGCTATACATAGTTTGTGTAGAACTTACTTCTTTTTTAAAACTGTTATTGTCTTTTGTAAACTGTTAATTTATAATGTAGTTATTTTTATTACATTGGTAAGTAAATAGTATATTCACAGCTGTAAAGACGATAAGAAAAAACGAAATAAGTTTTTGTAATATAACTATATACTTTCTACGATCAAAAACCTACAGATTACTTAATATTTATTGGGCAATAAAAATACAGAAATTATACAGGGTATTTCGCATAAGAACCTGCACAGATCAGGGACATGTAGGGAAACCCAAAATATGGTGATTTAACACAACTTACTTTTATACTAAAATCATCATTCAAAAGCTGACTATGAATTTAAAGGTGACGATCAAGAAAAAGTTGGAATAATAATAATTTAATAGAAAAACAAACAACTTAAACAACAGAAATAACATACAATTTGCACTGATAAGTTATAGCAATTGTTCAAAATGAGCACAGTTTTCTCTCAGGCATAAATTTATTTTTCTTCGAAAATTGAAGTCTACTCTATCCAGTAACTGCTGATTGTTTCTAATGAATGTGCATTTATCAGTAATGCGATTCCACAATTCTACTCGAGACGCAACTGACGAGGAATACACAAATACTTTTAACGTTCCCCAAAAAAAGAATTCACATTTGTTGAGGTCTGGTGATATTGGAGGTCAAACTTGTGGCCAATTATTTGGTGGTGGTTTAAAAAGTCTAACAATATTACTAAAATGAGGGGGACCTCCACTATGCATAAATCAATGTTCCAATCTGAGTTGTAGTGACTTTTTTTCTCGATCCTCAAGTTTGACATTTAAATTCATAGCCAACTTTTGAATTTTCGGATGATTTTAAGTAACAGTTACAATACGTACTGCATATTGGTTATAGTTGTTTTACATGAATTAATTCACGAATTTATTGGTAAACAGTGTGGTTTTACACTGCTACAGACTTTGTCAAGTTTTTTGACGTATGAATCAGTTCTACCAATGAATCAAAGAAGCAAATAAATTTCAAAAATTGTCACCTTTCCACTCATGATTGTAGTGATACAACAGTGGTACCGTTCTGACACATATCATATAAACATTAGTTTTTGTAAGTAACAAATCAGTAAAAACAATGCAAAACTAGTACGATGCTACACAATTATTTACATATTCCAATAACATAACCTCATTACTGATCTGAGGCTGGAAATCTGTTGGGTTGGTACTTCCGAACTTCACAAAGAAATTGACGAAAATTAGAACATGCTCTAATTCGTCAAGAACTTGATAAATAAATTCATGAAGTTATTTGACAGCAGATTTGGTGTATTACACTTGTCCAATTTCTTGTTGAAGCGACTTCATGAATCATGATCAATAAATTGTCAATATAAAACAGCTATTTTTCATGTTTTTGTTGAAAACGACGAAGTTTTTTTGAAAACTAACAAGAGTAAGAAAAATGTTTGAATTAAATTCCCCATAAAATAAAAATAAATTAAATTAAATTTATTAAATAAATTAAAAATTCTGTCACATTTTATGCTTCAATTGAATTCTATTTTCTGTCGATTAATGCTCTTGGTACACTCACACCATGCACCAAATTTGATTTTTCTAAGTTAAAGTATAGTAAGTAAAGTGAAATATTGATTTTATTGGAAATTTGAAATCCCACTTTTAAGGTCTATAACTTTTCATGGGTTAGTATAAAAGTAAGTTGTGTTAAAGCACCATATTTTGGGCTTCACTACACGTCCTTGCTCTGTGTCGATTCTTATGCGAAACACCCTGTATATTTAATTTGAATTTAATAATTTATTACTAAATGTAGACGTTCTAACTACTAGGTAATTTTAAAACAGGGACAACTCTACAGCTGATAGTAATTTAATTTTACCACATTAATCTTATTTTATTTTACTAATTTAAGTTCTCAGATTATCAGCAGATATCAACAATTAATCATAAATTGCTAAACCTTCCAAATAAAAAGTACACCATATTTTTTCAGGGGAAAGCAAAATAAAAAAAATAAATAAATATAATTTCACTTTATTCATTGGTTTCTGTCATTTCTACCTATGATCTGAGGTCGAGATAAATACATTCTTCGAGCTCTTGTTTTTGACGTGTTTAATAATTATTATAGGTTGTTTAATAAAAGAACCGACAAACATTGTAAATGTAAAAAGTCGATAATTGTGAATCTCGTTGAAATCATTATTTCAGCACGTACAGATTATTTTTAGGAATTTCCATAAAATGTGATAAATAAAATAGTACCTAATTAAGTTTCTTCACTTATTACTTGATTATTGATCTACTAATAGACGTCTATTTATGTATCTCTTAGGTTTTACATTCCCTAAACTGCCGGGAAAGTGGCCTTTTACTCTGAGCGAGCAGCAGCTGGACGCTCGCAGAAGGGGCTTGGAGCAATATTTAGAGAGGGTGTGTGCTGTTCGCGTGATAGCCGAGTCGGATGTGATGCAGGATTTCCTCACCGATCAGGACGACGAGAACAACAGCAGCCCTGTCGACTTAAAAGTAAGTTTTAACAGAACGTAATGTAATCTACGATTTGTTTTATTATTATGGTGACGGTTTTTGATTGGTGAATTTTTTTTTCAGGTATTATTACCTGATAGAGATGTAGTGACTGTATCGCTTAAGAAGAGTGCTAATGCGGATGAGGTGTACGATGCGGTGGTTAAGAAAGTTGGGATGAGCAAGAAGGTGTCCAATTATTTTTATTTATTTGAAATCGTCGAATATAACTTTGGTAAGTTTTGTCACATTTGAAATGTAATATAATTATTGCGGAATTTTTTTATTTTGGAATATTTCGTGTGGTTACGAGTAAATATTTTGTTGCGGAAATAAATAATATATGTACAAAGGAAAAGTACTGAGGTGCAATTATATTTGGACTAGGAATCCGTTGAAAGAGATATTGAAAAACCCGTTGATAATCAATTTATATTTATTTCAGGAGTGACAATAAACCTGCTTTTATGGTTTGGTTTTTAAGCATAACCGTGTAATTTTTGTTTCATTTAATCAGTGGCCAACTTTTATGAGCAAAATATTTCCAATTACATGAAATTCTTTAATTTTATCTAATATCGTTGCCGTTATCATGAAATGCGTTTTAGCAAAAATAAAAAAACTAAACTTAAAATTGAAAGAAAATAGGTACATACTTATTTAATGTGAAATGTTTCTATGCAATTAAAATGGTAAACAAGATTTTAGGCCTCGCAGATAACAATTTTTTTTGTTCTACTTCTGTTATCTCGACATTTATTTTTTTAACTAGAATGATACTCCCTTGACATTTTCTGCAATTTTTCAGCCTAGTGCATGTTACGGGGAATATAAATATGTTTTGATAAAATCACAAAAATAGAGTTTGCTGTTCATATTACAACGGAGTATTACAAAAAAAATATGAATTTTTTCAAAGTTTAATGGCATCTTTTATTATTCTGCATCATAATTTACGACAAATGTATTAATTGTTAGTCATCCTGTAATAATTCAAATATTTCTGGCAATCCGAAAGTCTCATTTCTTATTTCAGATTTCTAAATTTATGTTCCTTCCTCTTAAATATTTTTTCAACACTTCTTTTCGATTTTTACATTTCGTTTGAACGAATTTTTAAATTTTATCGTTTGTTAATTCTATAGTTTTCTGAATAAGCCTTTATTTTTTGGATTTCAAATAACCAAATTAGTGATCTGTCAGTTCTGTCAGAAATCAACAAAATTGACGAAGAAGTTTAATTTATTCAAATTTTTTGCGAGATTTTAATATCTTTTTACTTAATTGGGTATTTCTGCCACACTGAAAGAAGTTTTAAATATTGCACACCGAGAAAATAGATAATACAATTTGACAAATATCCACAAAATGTAACTGACCAAAAATTGGACTATACTTCCCCGAAGGTTTTCACGTCCGTCACATCAGGTTTTAGAGATAATCTAAAAGTGCCGAAAGACATTTTTTCGTTACATTTAACGTTATGTTACATCATGAGGTAATTTTTCCCACAAAACTCACTATGGCATCTGAAAGCAGTACTCTTCCTCTTCAAAAATTATTTAAATCTTTCGAATATCTTTTTTCCTCTCCAAGAAATTGTTTTTTTAAATTGATTAATTAGTTTGACATATTCGTCGGTATTCGTAATTTTAATAGCATCAGGCAAAAATTCAAAAAAGAGGAGAATCAGATTACAAACACCTAAGTTCCCACTGGTTGCAGATTTTCGATATTTTATCGAACATTCTTCATTTCTAAATTCCAATATTTTTTCTGTTTTATTCACCACATTGAATCTACCATTTCGAATTTTGCAATTCTGACTTCAGGTTCGTAATCAGCGACGCTGAAAATTTTAAAGGTCAGTGGGAATTTAGGTGTTTGTACGTTTCAAAACGTACCAAAAAATAACACAAAGAAATAGTTATAGGCGATAGATTTTATATGTTAAAGTTTGTTAGTTTAACAAACGTGTCTGTTATCAAACTTTTCAGAGAGGAAGTTGCAACCGAACGAGTACCCCCACAACCTGTATATACAGAACTATAGCACGGCAACCAGTACTTGCTTGAGTATTAGAAAATGGCTGTTCTCCCTTAACAAGGAATTGACCCTAATGTCCGACACCCAAGCGACTTCATACATATTTTGGCAGGTAAGTAATTTATGCTGAGCTCACCCAACTATAACTAAAACGCTTTAAAATTTTGTATCCGTTATTGATTTGTCTGTTTTCATAGGCCGTCGACGAGGTGAACCGCGGGTACATCCACGCCGGCGAGCGCCTCTACCAACTGAAAGCCTTGCAGGACAACACCAGGGCCGCGGAGTACCTAAAACTGGCCCGCGAGCTGCCCGGCTACGGCGAAGTGGTCTTCCCGCACTGCGCCTGCGATTCCCGCAAGGACGGCCACGTTATTTTATCGCTGGGTACGGCCGGTATCAAACTACATGCTTGCAGGGAGGATGGCACTCCGGAGAGCCAGGTGGTAGCGCTGCAGTGGGACTCTGTTAGGCAGTGGGAGATCGACGAGGAGGGCATGGCGTTCTGCTTGAAGTACAACAGGCAGGACAAGACGCCGCGGTGGCTGAAGATCTTCACGCCTTATGTGAGTAGAGTAGTTGACATTTTTTTTTGTTCCGTTTAAAAATTTGTGCTATTAAGTTTTTCAAATTTTGTTTTCAAATTAAAAAATTGAGATGCAATGGGCCAATTTCGACGTTTTTGGGGGTATTTCTCAAGAAGATTTACTAAAAGTAGTTCAAATGTCCTATGCTCAATTATCAAGTGAAACTAAAAGGTCGAAACTGCATTTCTATATCGAGATGTGGTTTTCAACGAGCAAAACAGGAGATAGACAAAAAGTAGTTCAAATGTTTTGCTCAATTGTGTAGAAAAATTAAAAGTTAAAAGGAGAGAAACAAAAAGTAGCCAAAAGTCTGGAGCTCAGAAAGCTTGACAAATATTGAAAGTCAGAAACCACTTCTTGATATCAAAGTGCAGTTTTCAAAAAAAAAAAAAAAAATAGGAGATAGACAAAAAGTAGTTCAAATACCCTGAGCTATTAAGAAAAATTCCGAGGCAAAAATATTTTGGTATCGAGGTGTGATTTTCGACAAACAAAATAGGAGATCGAGGAAAAGTCTCACGTTTGATTTTCGAGAAAAAGTAAATGGTAAAAAAACTGCTCGATATCAAGATCATGATTCGTTTTTTTCGAAAATGGAGACGACTACATCTGGATATGAAGCGGCGGTTTTAGAGAAATAAAATTAAAGATAGACAAAAAATAGTTCAAACGTCCCAATCAACAAACAAAACAGGAGAGAAACAAAAAGTAGTCAAATGTCTCGAGTTCATTTATTGAGGAGAAAAAATAGTCAAACCACTTCTTGATATCAAAGTGCAGTTTTCAAAAAATAAAACTGGAGATAGACAAAAAGTAGTTCAAATACCCCTAGCTTGATTATTAAGAAAAATTCTGAGGGTCAATTTTCGAGAAGTAAAAGGTAAAAAACTGCTTCTCGATATCAAGATGTATCTCACGAGTCATTATTTTCGAATCGAAAATAGAGGAGACTACATCTGGATATGAAGTACGGTTTTAGAGAAACAAATTGGAAGTTAGACAAAAGTAGTTCAAATGTCCCAATCTCGATTATTGAGAAAAATTTAAAAGCAGAAACCAAGTTTCGATATCCAATCTGGTTTTCAACTAAGAACTTGGGGCATACAAAAAGTAGTTAAAATGTAGTTTGATCAAGAAAAATTAAAAAGCGAAAACTGCTTCTCGATATTGAATTGTGGTTTTCAACAAACAAAACAGGAGAGAGACAAAGAGTAGTCAAATGTCTTGAACTCATTTATTGAGAAAAATTAAAATTAAGTAAAAAACCACATCTTGGTATCAAAGTGCGGTTTTCAACACACAAAATGGGAGATAGACAAAAAGTAGTTCAAATATCTTTGACCAAAATTAAAAAGCGAAAACCCCTTCTCAAACAAAACAGGAGAGAGACAAAGAGTAGTCAAATGTCTTGAACTCATTTATTGAGAAAAATTAAAATTAAGTAAAAAACCACATCTTGATATCAAAGTGCGGTTTTCAACACACAAAATGGGAGATAGACAAAAAGTAGTTCAAATATCACAAGTGTAATTATGAAGAAACATTCTGAGGCAAAAACATTTTGATATCGAGATGCGGTTTTCGACAAACAAAGTAGGAGATAAGGGAAAAGTCCCAAGATCAATTTTTGAGAAGAAATAAAAGCTAAAAACTGCTTCTCGATATCAAAATATGATTAATTTTTTTTTTGAAAATCGGGTCCATTCGATTTTGAAATTGTAGCATTTTGGAGAGACTGAACTGAATGTGCACTATTTTTCTTTCAGTACACCTACTTAATGGACTGTTTCGAGAGAATCATAGAAGAGAGCAAATGGCTGGACACGGGCGAATGATTCCCTCCACCCGTCGTCCGAATAGGTTCCTCGTAAATACATAATCAATTACACTGTGTAAAAAATTCTAATTAAAAAAAAAATACGGTAGTCCCTTCAAAACCTACTATATATATGTGATGTAACGTGTATTATATACTCTTATCTATTTTTTATTACCTTATTATGAAGCTTTAAAGGAGGCCATTTAGAATTACTATTAGAAAAAGAAACATGTTATGCACGATCTGTGGCGTTTTTCTGTTCTGTTCTTAGTGGAAACGGTAAGATTCGTGAAATGTAGAATTCATAATTATCGTCCGTGTGATAGAGATCAAATGAAACATTTAAACGTAGGCAAATTGTATATAGTATATCAATTTTTTTTTAATTTTTGTTTTAACTGTAGTCGGCAGTTGTTTTGAACTTTCCCGAGTTAGGCAGGTTTAGACGTAGCACGATCACGTACTTTGAAAAACTGTAGTTAAAAAAAAGTAGGGTTATGGTTCTCTTAATTCATATCGGTATTATTCTACTGCCGTTGGAGTCGTACGCAGCCCGATGTCATTCGTTATTGTATATACAGAGTGTTTGGAAGGGATTACTCCGGTTTGATTAGCAGAAATAATGGTTATACACGAGTGTTTCAGTCTTCCAAGAATTTCTTTCGCCTCGTTTATATGTCTGCCTGTAACGTTTTCAATTCGTTCGTATACGCACTTAAAAATGTGTATTTGTCTTGAATGTCACCGAATTTTAACTATTTCAGTGTATTTTTTCTCAAATATTTATCGTTTGGTTTCTATGGATCGTAATAAATGTTAGGGTATTCAAATAAACAGTTTTCTTAGTGTATAAGACGATTGTTCCGATACTTATAGTATATTCGATTTTGTTGCGGCTGATCCTTTTCAAACACCCTGTCAATTATTTAACAAAGAAAAACAGCTCTTCTTCCATTCTTTCTTTCCAATTATATGTACAATTTATTTTGCTTTTATTTATACTGTGATGTCCATTTCACGAGGTGCTGATGTAGTTACTTTTTTTTATAAATTATGGACTGTATGGTTTTTGTCATTTATTTTTAATAATGGGCTTCGCAGTATATCGGATTTTGAGTCTCTCTTTGTATGCTGTGTTATATTTTGTTATATTCTCAAAGCGGCCATTGCCGGATTTTGTTTGCACTAAATTACGATTTTTAGTTTTATAGAGAATATTTATATACTTACTAGCTCAGACTTATTTACATGTAGGCGATTTGATAGTATTATATTTCTATATCCTATCAGATCTTTTTTGTATAAAAAGGCTAATAGTGTTGCCCTGATAAGATATATATCTGTGTTGAGTAATGTGTGCAAGGTGTTCCACTAAAATTCCCCAGTCCGACATCTCGAAGACCAAGCGAGGCGTCTAAGTTCGAAAAAAGCGTTGAGCTCTCCATGAAACTAGATGGAGCAAACCCGAGAATTTTTTGCGACGTCAGGTGAAGGTTGTGATAACTTTTGTTCAAAAACTGTTTTTATTACAAAAGCGCTAAGAATTTGACGGTTTTCATGTGGTTCACTTTTTTGCTGAATTCAGATCTCTTGATTTTTGAGATATCGAAATGTGAGGCTTTAAACGGAATGCCCTTCACATATTTTTAAAAATTTACCTTTTTCGTAGAGGAATAATGGAGTTTTCTGGCCGTTATGCACCAAATTCGAAAATAAATAAATTATGAAGTATTAATATTTGTTTTTATCTCCCCTTACCTCAGTCCTTGTTTCGAGCAGAATATACAGGGTGAAACTTTAAGTGGGGATCATATTTATACAGAGCCTTCCTTTGATCTGTAGAGACCAGTATCAATAGTTTATTTTTTCAAATTCTGTTGTAAAAACTTTTTTTATTAACCTTTTTTTTAGTAATTTTCGTACCTCGCCGCTGGACAAGCTAGTGTAACCTCAAATAACAGTGCACTTTAATCGGAGTGCATGCACAATGCTCTTTGGCGCTCGTTACTATTGTTGAGTGGGTGTTCACCACACAAACAGTACTTAACAAGTAACCTAGTAAAAAACTCTAGCATTAATCGATAATGATAAATCAAATACACAAAAATAAAAAATTTGTGTACCACATGATTTTTATTCTTCTCTGAATTTGTTCCTATACAACATTACTGTATTGGCCTTAAAATCTAGCATAATCTCCTAGATGTGTAATCTGCCACTTTCGACTGTGGACCTCAGAATACGGAATTTAATAATAATGAAAAACATTTAAATTCACAGTTCAATGTACTGCTCTTAAAATTCAAATGCCTAAGAACTAACCTCTTTTGCTTCATTACCGTTGACCCGTACTATCTCCCTTCACATGCACTGTAGGTTGCCTTCAATTCATTTTTGTAATGCATGAATAGTACAGTGGCGACGTACACAAGAATTAAAGTGCATTTTAAAAAACTCATAATTCAACTATTTGATTGAAAAAAAAAAGAATTTTAGATTCGTATCCAGGAGAACACATACTATTACCCCTAAAAAAACTGACCCCCACTTAAAGTTACACCCTGCATACAGGGTTTAATTTTAAGTGGAGGGGTGGAGGTCGGTTTTTTGGGGTAATAGTATACAGGGTGTTTGGTAAGTCGATGCATTCCTTGCAGGTATAGTATAGTGCAAGTGATTTGTGATATATTTTCTTAATATACCATATTCCGAAAATGTTTAGTTTCTGATCTACAGGGTGTTAAAAGTTTTAATATAAGAAATGCAAATTTATGAATATTGCTGAATCTGCTCAGAATATTTTAATGAAATTTTACAGGCTTTAGATCAAGGGTCGGCAACTGGCGGACCGCGGTCCAGGTCCGGACCGCGAAAGGTAAAATACTGGACTGCCAAAAATTTTTTGAAAGTATTAATTTCTCAAATAAATTATTTTAAAAATGTTTTTTACGTTTAAGTGCCAATCTTATCATTTTTTCTAGTATTTTACAATTGTGTGAGTGTTTTGAGTTCTTAATGGTTAGTAAGCAGATTAAATTTGAGTCCAAATAAAAAAATAAGAAATATCAATTTTTTTTCTGGACCTCGTTAAAAATTTTCAAAAGTATTCGGTCGGACCCCACCTAAAATTACTTGCCGACCCCTGCTTTAGACAGTTGACAACAATACATGTTTTACGATAAAAGTATCGTTTTCAGTTTCACCGGTGGCGTGCGCATAGGATACAGATATTTTTAAAGAAAAAGATGAAACACCACTGATTTTTTTAAAATAAAAATTATTTTTGAATTTCTTGTTTAATTTGGAAAAGAAAAGGTATCTCGACTGTTTTTCTTATGACACAACAGTTTTCGGGGAAAAAAAATTAAAATCGATTTATTGCATGACGTAATTTGGTTTCAATAATTTGAAAAATAGCAGAAATTATTCACTCAGCTTTTTTTTTATATCAATTTTATTACAAAAATTGCAGTTAAGATCAGTCTAAAAATTTTTTATCAGTTTTTAGATTCACTATTCACTATCTAAACAGAAATTAGCAAGTTGGCTCTGCACTCGTTTTTGTTATTTGACAAAATTAATAATAGCTGTCACTTTGAGTGTTTGAGTGTGAAGCAGTTTTAAGAGCTCAACCTGTTTTGTGTGTTTTACGTAATTTCGAGTGAGTTCACTTTACTTGTGCGACTTTTTTGCTGAAATGGCTGCGTTTCCGATTGCTGAATCTGCAGATATTGTTTACATGTATGGACTTTATGACAGAAATGGTGCTGAGGCACATCGAGAATATCAGCGTCATTCTCGAATGGTCAGTGAAACGGGAACTGTACACCACAGGCAAATTCACATAGAAGCTCCTGCACGTTAAGGCCCTAATGACAAAAGTCATTCTTAGAACTTTTCAGAAAGATCCGACGACGAGTGTATGCGTCGTTGCTAGGCGTCTTCGGGTGTCGCAGATCCAATTTTAATCGAGAAGGGATTACCAAGTACCATAATGCTTATTATTGGGCTGAGGAAAATCCACGTCTAACGTCAAACCGTCATTATCAAACACGGTTCAATGTTAACGCTTTTAATTCAAAAAAAATTTTTATTTTAAGAAAAATACGTGGCGTATCATTTTTTTCTTTAAATATATCCAGATGTGCCTGTGCGCATGTCACTGGTGAAACTGAAAGCAATATTTTTATCGTAAAACATGTATTGTTTGATAACTGTCAAAGCCTGAAAAATTTAATTAAAATATTCTGAGTGGTTTCCGCAATATTTATAAATAAGCATTTTTTTATTAAAACTTTAACACTAAGCGTTTCTGGAATATATATTAATTAACATCACAAAACACTTGTATTATTACCTCCTGGAAGGAATGCATCAACTTACCAAACACCCTGTATGATTGACAGAATCTGAAAGTAATATCATGTTATCCAAATTGTCTCTCTTCAGCTTCCCAACTTGGTTGTATGTGCACACTTATCAGTGTTGCCAGTTAACATTTTAAACCAACTGTATGAAACCGATGCAGTGGCAGACACTGCAACGAAAATAATTTCATAAAATCAAGTATAACTCCGATATATACATTTTTTGTCAATGCAATGTCTATGTTGTTCATCATCATTTCATCAATCATTTGTTACTACTTTTTTTAAAGCACTGTGTTTAGCATGCGAATCTCAGAGTCAACGACTTTTGAAATTGACCTACTTTAAGTAAATTACATAATATAAATCCACCTGATGTGATATAACAGGTGGATAAAAAGGAAGTGAAGAAAAAACACCCACCAAGGGGTGGTCGTCTTGTTTCAAATCAAAATATTAAAACAAAGTATTCTGACTAAAAATATTCCCCGGGCGATTTTTTTTTTAAAATAGTACATTCCTAGATTTATTTTTAGTCGTGTCTCTTAAATATTTACCTACCTTTCCAAACATATATCGCCAACCTATTTCCATTCAGGCTTAAACGATAACAGAACGAGGAATTTAAATTTAAACAGTTTTTTAAAAAGCATGTCATATATTAAGAAATAAGGTACAATATTTACATTAAAAATAATGTTTCATAAATAATCAATATATAATACTTCAGCAATGCAATTTTAAGGATTAAATTATCGTAACTTTTAACAATATGGGGTTTTCAGATACACTTTAATTAAAATCACCGTACAGGGCGTCCCAAATTAACGATAAAAAAATTTAACGTGTAATACTAGTCCAAATAAGATTCCTATAAATCCTTACGTACTTAGGAGCCACAATTATTCTAAATTACACGGGAAAAACGTCATTTTGTATCAAATTTAAAAAATGGCACCCAATGGAACTGAAATTTTCTGAACTTACGTTATTTTTAAAGGAAAATGAATGACATTACATTGTCTACAAGTGCGACCATTGCTTGTTTTTGATGGGATCAGTTCTCAATTTTTCCATTTTTCACTGTGGCAAGAGACGCGTTAACTTCTAAGAATCTACCATATTTAAATTATTTTTGCAATTTTTCAAAAACTCGCCTTTGAAACATATCAAAGATTCGTAGAACTAAAGCATTTCAAATCATAGCAATAACTTAATGAAAAGTTGACCGATAAAACTCAATCTCCACGTTTTAACATCAGTTTCCTCTTGAAAAAAATGTATGTCTTGTTTCCCGCAGCAAATCGTTTTATGATGATTAGTGCTTCCGCCGTTAAATTCGTTTACCCTTAGTTCGGGACACCCCGCGTGAGCCTTAGAAACGAATCTCGAAACAATTGGACATTTTAAAAACTGGACAGTCTTCGTATAGATTTAAGTGTCAGGTTCCATTGAACAAATAGATTTTTTTTTTAATTCGATACTATACAATTATTACATTTTAATAATTAACTTTTCGTAAGTAGTTAATAAAGGGAAAACATACATTTAACAGATACATTTTGCGAGATGCGGGATCGACGCAAAATCTATCTCTAGGAAACACTTATGAAGTGAGAAAGTTTCGACGTCGAGACCGGGCAAACATCGCACGGAAAAATAATCGGAATTCGGCTTCCAAAAATTTATTCTGCTAGTTTTTCCACTCAAACAAAACTAAAACATTTAGGCCTAATTTATATACACTATTGTCGAATTTTGTGATGTATGTCAATCCGATCGCGTACACTTTCAACGTTTGCCCGTTCCCGCCGGATTGCGGGCCTTAAAACCAGAGACAACCTGTTACAGAAGGAAGATATGTCAAAAATTGTAATATATATACTCCTAATAAAACCTAGGGCATCTCCTAGAAAAATAGCTTGAAAAATACTTTTAACAGAATCACATTATACTCCGATACTATCTAACAACTAACCAACCACAGTACACATTTCCATCACATTCTAAAAAAAAAAAATTATTTACACGTTTACAAACCGTTCCCAGAACTCAAACCGTACATAAAATCATCGTGAGTCCCCAACGCAACGCGACGTTTTACTGCAAATGTGGGTCTGAGAAACCACAAAAAACGACTACTAAAACGTTACTAGTTTTTCAACAGATTAAATAAATAATTTTATTTGAAACAATAATAACACTTCGGCTTGGCTTGTCTAGTGGAAAACCGATTCAATTTCTTTTATAGACTGACCGTCTCAGAGTGGGCGTATCTCGACAACACAGTCACGGAGTTATAAATTGTGGATGCGTCTCCATGCTTGGTGCAATGAATTCATTTCGCAAACCTGCAGTGAGTTATTTAGAACGTCTTCCGAGGCATATTTTGCATCAAAAGTTATTCTCAAGTCTAGTTTTTAAATTTCGCTGTTTCAAATGTAGTGGTTTTGATGGAACTTCATTTTTCATATTTAACGAAAAAGCATAAACACCATGACCAGGACATGGGTCTATAATAGAAATATTAAATATGGTGCAGAATTTTTGGTACGATCCTTCTTAAAATTGAAAACTAATTAAGAAAAAGTTAAGAAAAATTACCATCAAAATATATGGCAGGCACATAGAAATGACTAGTGTGTAAAATAATTTGTAGGGCGAAAAGTTTCTTTTTGGAAGTGTGGGTACGTAAATTACCTGCATTGTTTTAATATATTTTGACTAGAATGTTGGTTAGTAAATATCCAATTTTCAATAAAAAGCTTTGAAAAAATAGAATAACGGAAGAAAGTCTGCTCCGCCCTCGATTCCAACCTGGTTCGACTTTGTCAAATACCCTTCCATACAAAGTTATAAAAAGAATCTGGCTAACAAATATAAATTTTTCATGAAAAAACAGTAAATAAAGTAATGTTCCATAAATTAAAAAAATGTTCATCTCAACTTTTGAATAAAAACTGAAAATAGATTTTTTCGGGCAGGTTATTAGCTCAGCGCCACGGACACTTTCATAAAACAGTAATTTTGAATTTTTAAATGAAGTTCTTTTGCTTTAAAATTGTACATAACGACATTACTATCTGTTACTTTTACACCATCGATTTAAAATCGGCATATTGGCAGATCACCCCTTACTTTGGTGACCTTGCTTTAGCTCCTACTATGTATGCAACCATACAAAGGAGAGAGCTAGCAGTCAGGACTAATGAGAATGTTTTTAGTTCTCTCGAGGCAAGCATAAAAAATTCTACATCTTAGCAGCTCTTCAAGAATTAAGTTCGAAATTTGGAAAAATACGTAGCCATTTGTAGAGAACCTATTATTTCTCATTACCGAGATAAAAACCAAAGATTTATTTTGAGGATAATTTTTGTAGTCATCTCACTCACAATTTTAAAGTCAAAACTCCTTTCTACTGCATTAGATGCGAGCCATTTTTACTTTCTCGGAAAGTTACAACCACAAAGATATTGTGTTTTCATCAGATCCTGTACAATTCTATAGACATATCCACATTAAACACAACGAATTTCAGTAAAACCATAAGTGTGTTAACGTTTCGGAGAAAATTTAGGAACCACAGAACAGAACAAGAAAAATCTTCCACTAGACTGCGCCGAAAGAAACATCCCGACGAAATCTATCGATGACCTCACCGATAAACCCGAAACGTCCCACCACCGTCCGCTTATCCCCTCCATTCCCTCGCCTGCGACACTCGTCACGTCCCAATTTGTTAGTTTCATTTGTGAATCGGAATCTTAATAAAGCAACTATAAAAGTTCTCGTTTTTTGTTTAAATTTAGATCTATATTTCCAAAATACTATCTATCTAATCGGAGTCGTCCTCGACGCCCTGGTCGAATCCCGACAGGTCCGCGGACTGCAGGTGGCCCTTCATCAGGGCGTATTCGATCAGGGCCAGGTGACAGAATATGTACTGGTCTGGCATTTGGATGGAGTAAGCTCGTTGGGATCGTATCCGTTCCACGGTGCCGCGGATGTCCGCGGTGCCGACGTCCTCCAGTCTGGAGATGCAGATGTCCAGCGTGCAGAACGTACCTGGAGAAAACGACAAATAGTTTTGTAAATGTATACAGCGTGTGCGGAAAATGGAAACGAAAAATTTTGGGGGCGATTCTACTCATAAAATAATGATAAGTATAAATTTCTGACAGTTTTTTGAAATAGAGTTAACCTAAAAACAATTTTTAATCAGTCAACATTTTGCCATATTTTCAAATTTGAAAATGAAATTGATCATTATCTCTATACTTTCAATTTTTCAAGAATTAAACATAATAATGATAATTAATATTTGAGAAAACATAAGGGAATAACATCCCTTACATTAATTTAAAATCACTCTCATAGGGCAGCTCTCAGCTTTATATTTGATTGTTTTTCTTTTTTTTTTCTGGTAATATTACCAATTTACAACTGTTTACATTTCAAAATAAATAAATGTAACATTTTTTAGTGTTTGTGGGTGGAGATATAACCTACAAAGTATATGTCATATCTTGAATGCCATTGCTACTCAATGCCTACTGGCAAAAAGCAGTACATTGCACCTACTGACAAAGTGACCTACTAATCTGTATGTGATGCTGCTAATGAATAATTTTAGCTATTTACTAGATATTGAGGGTATAATTCAATGTTAGACAGAGTATGTAACTTAAAAAGTAGCCGATCTCCACAAAATCATCACTTAAAAAGTTTTTTAAGGTTGTCTCTAACATTAAATGCATTGTTTTCTTAAAAAACAGTTAATGTTAGTTCAAGACGACCTTATTGTAAGATTTCCGAATGATCTTTGGGATTAAGCTGTGTAAGTTCTTTTGAAAAACTGCAAACAAAAAAGTTATAATCGTTTTTGCAGTCAATAAAGGCCACTGAAGCCTTTTGAAGAATTTTTACGAATAAAAATAGGTAAAAAAATATCTTCATTAAAAATGAAGTAATGGTAAATATTAATCAGAAAAAAGTAAATAATATTAAGTTTGTGTAACTCTGACCGAATTATCGAGAAAGCACCATATAAATATAACATTATTTATTACGAGAATTACACTCTAATTTGCTCACAGTATTTGGATACATTTTGAAACACGCTGTTGTAGACAATAAAAAGTTTCTGACATAAACTATTTATGATGGCGTTATAAAAAAGGGTTCTATTAGTTTCAATAATTAAATCCCATTAAAAGTTTTAAGTTGGATACTTTTTTTTGCCTACATGTGTACATATTAATGTAAATTTACAATTATAACTGCAAATTTACACTTATAAATAAATTAATTAGCAGTGACAATACGCCAACATATTTTTTCATTAATATTCTTGATAAAAATCACTGAAAGTACAAATGGTTTTAATTTTGAAGCACGCCCACGAATTTGGCCCAGATTTATAAAAAAAATAATTCGTATACAAAATTTCCTTTTTTTAATGAAGTCACCTACATCAGTGAAGTTAAATTTTATATTTAAGAACAAAAATTCTAATTTCTGAATGTCAGTTTATCGCTGTCTCTTGATAATTGTAGATTTACGCTTATGAATGTAAAATTACAATTATAATAATACAACCTAAATACAAAATAGAAAAGAATGTAATGTGTATTGAAATTAAGGAATATAGTATTTATTTTAATTGAATTTAAATGTTTTCTTTTTTTAAACAAAAAAAGTGAAGAGCAAAATTTACCTGTCCGACCAATGCCCGCGCTGCAATGTACTACTATAGGAGGACCCCGAGGGTGCCCCGCCCACGTATCACCTAAGGCGTTCACCATGCTCGCCTGTTTCCTCCTGACCCGCTCCAAGAACTCCAACATCGCCTTGGCCGAATGGGGCACCCCGTAGTCCGGCCACGACGTGAACTGCCAATGCGACACTTCCCTACTTTCGTCAGTCTGTAAATATCGATTATATTTAACCCTTTTTACATTTATCAATTTTTCAATTAATAAATCGTTAAAGAAATCATCATAATTTGCAATATCTTACAGCGCCACCTAGTGGTTTGTGAGTTTCGCCATTTCAATAAACTAGAATCAATTCTGCTGTCTCTAATTAATTGAAATTATGAAATTTTTCGCATGTACCAATATTTTTTATCAATTTATTTTGTCAAAAACCGTCAGTTTCAACTAAATGCGAGATACGTACTTTACTATTTGTCAGGTTGATTGTGGTAACGGTGTAGTCCGGTTCGGTTTCCACCGTCACCGTCTTAACCGTGAAGTGACCGTAGGTCGCCTCGCTCCCCACTTCCGGCTCCCAGTACTGGTGACATTTCGGCCTGCCCCTCTCCATCGCCCTGGTGGTCATTACTATAACTAACGTGTGTTGTTCCCATATCATGCGCCAGAAGTCTGGAGTGGTCTTGGGCAGGGGACCTACAGAAAAAAGTTCCTGCTTGAAGTTGGCCGGAAGATCGAATTTACATAAAATTGGCAAACGGGGACACAGGAACAGGTCCGCGAGGTATTCAAAGTTTTTCGTAAAATCACTATGCAAAATTTGTTAACAGACTGATTAGAATAATTGCCCACATCCGCTTATTATTTGGAGTTATTTTAATACAATGACGTTAATATTTGAACAATTATGTAACATGTCCATGAGAAGAATTCATAAAGATTTTGTGAATTAATAATGCAACTTTAATTTGGTAAAATATTACGATTCCTTTATTTTAATAAGATTTTTAATACTACCCGCACAAGGTACAATTAATTTGAATTCTCACGTGTTTTTTAATTATTTTTTTAAAATTATTCATTCAGGGGAAGCAATTAAATTTTTTTTATAACTTTTGCTTGCAAATAACACATTTTAAAAAGTTTCTCATCAAACTGACGTGTAACATTTTATTTTTGGGAGAGTATGTTGTAAACAAGCCGATATGAAATCTCACAGAACAGTTATTATATATTTAGGCCGATATTAATTAGCAGTGATGACATGTTAACATATTTTTTAATTGAATATCCTTGAAAAGATCATTAATAAGGTGTAGACAATGTTTTGAGGTACGCTTTTATCTGGCCCAGAATTAAAAAAAAATTGATCCGTACCCAAAACTTTGCCTTTTAAGGATATTACATAAAAAAACATTAAATTTTATAATTCAGACACAAAATATCTTATTGTAAATTTATGAATATAACTTGGTAAGAATTGTAAATTTATATTTAGAAGAATTTATATTTAAGACTGAAAGTTACAATTCCTGATAATTGTAAAGTTGAGAAAAATGTATAATTATATTTATATACTAACTCATAAATTTACAAATATGCAAATTTAACTAATAAATGTAAATATACAATTATAATAGTGAATTTACAATTGTATTAATTCGAGGTGTTGATATACTGACATTTTTATTGATTATCCTTGAAGAAAAAAAAAATCATTTTGAACCAAACTCTTATTTTGATCTAAAATTTAAAAAATATTGAATCAAATCCAAAATATTGCTGTCTAATGAACATGGTTACAGACAACATTAAATTTTATATCCCAAATTACAAATTACAATTTTTTATTGTAAATTTACGGAAATAACCCGGCGACTGTAAATCTACACTTATATTAGGAGGGCTCTATCACAAATAGCCAGCCAGCAATACATTTTTATAGATTTTATTACACAGTTTGTCTAAATATGAGCATTAGCACAAATAACAGACTTTCCTCTATTCTAACGCAGATTTTCTATAAAATGGAGTTAGTTTGAAACTCAAATTACTTTTTGTTGTAAAGAAATTTGTAATTTGTCGCTTTTCAGCATCGTAAATTACAAATTTCTTTATACCAAAAAGTTATTCGAGTTTCAAACTAAGTTCATTTTATAGAAAATCTGCGTTAAAATGGGGGAAAGTCTGTTATTTGTGCATTAATTCATATTTAGACAAACTGTGTAATAAAATCTATAAAAATGTATTGCTGGTTGCCTATTTACTATAGAGCCCTCTTAACATGACAATGATAAGTTAACATATGTTTCTTTGTCGGATATTCTTAAAAACCAGTATAAGACATTTTAATTTAGAAATACTTATTATGGTCCAGAATTAGAAAATTTGATCCGCATTGAATATGTTTTTTTTATTGAAGTTGTTTTCACAAATGACATTAAATTAAGATTAAAAGTTAAAATTTCTTTTTGTAAATTTAGGCATATAATTTGATAATAATTATAATATTTCCCTTATGAAAACGAAAATTTAAACCTAAGTGTTAATTTACAATTATAATAGTAAATTTACACTTATACTAATTAGCACTGTTGATATGCTAACATTTACGTTGAATACCCTTGATGATAAATCATTAATAATCATTAATTTTGCAGAGCACTTTTAATTTGTTTTAAAATTTAAAAAAATAACATTAAATTTTATGAAAATAAATGATAATTGTAAACTTACAATTATAATTGTAAATTTACACTTACATCAACATGATATGCTAATATATATTTTTTGTTAAATATCCTTGAAAAAATTATTAATGAGTCATAGACACTTGAATTTTGAAACTTTTACTTTAGTACAGAATTAAAAAAAATTGATCCGAAATTGAAAATTTCAATTTTAATGTGTCATATGTGTATATGACATTAAATTTTATATTTAAGATTTAAAATTAAAATTTCTTATTGCAAATTTCTGGATTTAACTTAACAATAATTGTAAATTTACATTTATAATTAAAAATTTACAATTATAAACATAAATTTACAATTACATGTTATATATTTAAGAATGGGAACTACAATTTTTTATAATAAAATTATGGATGTGTCTTGGTAACTGTAAATTTACAGTTTCCACGGCCAACTACTTGCTACACTTTTGCTTTTAAATCAGCCCGAGGCCGTACAAAACCCGCCAGAACTCACCTTGCGTGTTGATGAAGGCGTTCTTCTGCTTGTACCCGTCCACGAAGTTCGCGTGTATATAATCACTGTCCTTATCGTTATCCACCTCCGAGAGGATCACTCTACTATGGTCGTAGCACAGCACGTCGGTGTACCTGTTCTTGGGCAGGTTGTTCTTGGACTTGGCCACGTTGAAGGTGCCGTCGGGCGGCCTCAGCCTGATCTCCGCGTACTCCTGCATGAGTCCCGACCTGCCCCTGTCCCTCACGTAGTCCACCAGCTGCACCATGGTGAGGGCGGCGCCGTCGCCGTGCAACGAGTCGTCGTCGGAGAAGCCGCTGGACGCGCTGCTGGGCGGGTTGAGGTTGGCCTCCTCGGCCCAGCTGTCCACCGCGTTGTTGGAGCCGATGTCGATGTCGTTGGGGGTGCCTATGCGCTTCTGGGGGGACGGCGTCTTGCCATCTGGAACGAGGAATTAAACTTTAGGTTTTCGTCACAACGGCAGAATAAATTATCGATTTTTAAAATATCTCGGGTATTTATATATTTTGAAAATTTTACCTTGGAAATTTTCTTGAACTAGAACCTATAATACTTCATATTCCATATTATAGTTCAATGATGATGTCGTTATTACTAGTTTAGTTACATTATAAGATCAATTAACATGTAATCGTGATTTTAACTATGTAATTTTATATGTAAGTAATTATTGCGAGTGATAATAGTTTACGATAGTTCACATAATTTAGTTAATTTGTCTAAGTATACAATGCAGAGAAAAATTACCAAAAGCACCTTCATCAACTTGAAATATGAAAAAATATACAAACGGATATTTATTTTTAATATGGAAAAGAGAGTAGTAAGTCAAAAAGACATTGTCCAGCACCGCTATGTAACAATATCATACATATCAAAACTTTCATCATTTTACTTTATTTTTTACCTTTTATCATACAGTGTGACAAAAATTGCAAGCCAAAAATGTGTATATAGAATGCAAATACTTCTCGATCAACATTTTCAGTCTGACAATTTTATATGCTCGACTTGAAACAATTCCAGTCACTAAAGGTTGTGACATTCCTACAACTAACTGTAATATGTTAAGACATCTGAAAGACCCACACAGACCTGAAGCAGAGCGTCATAATATAAATACAGTAAGAGAGAGATGTAAAATACAAATCACGTTTTCGATATTCAAAATTATTACTTATTTTCCCCATTAATCGAACACAAAACAGTGCCATATGTTGGTTGCTTGTTTTTGCTAATATTAATATCTGTCCAATTTACCTGCTTGAAGATATTTCAAAGTTTCTGTTAGGGACTTTCATAGTTTTTTTTTCTCTATAATGTTACATCCCTGCAAACTCAAGTTAATGATCTATCATTTAATGACAAATTGAAGGTTAAAGTGAATATTTTATAGTATTTATGCATGTTTTATCCTAAGTGAAGGTTTTTATTAACAAAACTAGTGTTGCTGTTTATTATTTTACACTCAGAAGAGAGACAAATGTTTTTAAAGGTATCTTTCTTTTTTATAAAAAAAAGCAAAAAGTACTAAATTTTACGAAAATCTGAAACATTTCTCGACTTAGTTCCTAAATAGCTAAAATGTTTGACCAAATTATTCGATGATTCATTGAGTACAAATTTAAAGGTCTTACCCATCAGAATGGAACACAAATAAGAAGTTTGCTTCGTACTACGACAATTTTGTTAAATTTTAAACATATGACGGCATTAACCTGACAGATAGTGCAGTATATACAGGATGTCCCAGAATAACATGTACAACGGAAGACCACAGATTCATGGACTCAAAATAGGCAGACTTAGGCTTCACCTATAAGCGAAATCACTTCGTTTGGCCGCTAGGTGGCCTCAAAGTTTGTGAAAATTTTTTGAATCTGCCTATTATGAGTCCACGAATTTATGATCTACCGTTGTACACGTTATTCTGAGACACCCTGCATATGTTTTTCATCATTTTTTGTTTTATTAAGATTAAACTCAAAACAACTCTACAAAATCAAATCTGACTTTTAATACACTTTTTTTATACAAAACATAGAAATTCCAAAGTTACGACAATTTCAAAATATTGGAGCATGACTTAATTCGCAAGTACCGTTCCACGAACACAAAAGGGTACTCACCGTAATGGGGAAGAGGGGATTCCGGTCCCGTGGTGGTCATTGACAGGAGGCAGTGCGACAACCAACCATTATGGTCCAGGATGAGGGAACCCCCCAACTGGGTAGGCAGCGATTCCCGGGGTATGTGGCTGGACAGTTGCGCCACTGACACTGTGTACACCCTCTCCCTTAGTTTCTCTCTCACGAACAACCGCAGGATCTTAAACGGCGCCTTGAACCATAGGGGCGCCGTCACTATGAGCACCTTCTTTAGTTTGGCTGGGTATCCTCCCTGAAACCAAAGAGAAATATCGGTTAATTTTGCTTTTTTAAACTATATACCTTGTTGTTTGTTCTATAAGTAATAATTAGAACTCGGGTTGTTACAGATCCAGATTCAGTTCTTATATTAGTTGCTTACTAGACACTGTTCACAACAATCAGTCAGCTCTTCCATGAATTTTGTTGAGAGTCTGCAAAATCTATTATCGATTGTAGTACAAATTGAATTTTTTTCTTTCTAATTTATTAATTCATCTCCATTAACAATTAAAAGGCATAAATGACTTAATATGCCAAAAGAGAAAGAATAAATAAACTGGAATTATTTCAAATGTGGTTTGATTGCGATTCCAAACATGATAATGAAAAAGTGAAAAGGATTTTGATGATATAAAACTTATTATTTACTGCTTTAATCCCAATGAAAGCAGNCGGGGTATGTGGCTGGACAGTTGCGCCACTGACACTGTGTACACCCTCTCCCTTAGTTTCTCTCTCACGAATAACCGCAGGATCTTAAACGGCGCCTTAAACCATAGGGGCGCCGTCACTATGAGCACCTTCTTTAGTTTGGCTGGGTATCCTCCCTGAAACCAAAGAGAAATATCGGTTAATTTTGATTTTTTTAAACTATATACCTTGTTGGTTGTTCTATAAGTAATAATTAGAGCTTAGGTTGTTACAGATCCAGATTCAGTTCTCATATCAGTAGTTTACTAGACACTGTTCACAACGATCGGTCAGCTCTTCCATGAATTTATTGTGAAAGTCTGCAAAAACTACTGTCGGTTGTAGTATAAATTGAATTTTTTTCTTTCTAATTTATTATCAACTCCATTAACAATTAAAAGGTATAAATGAGTTAATATGGCCAAAGAGAAAAAATAAATAAAATGGAATTATTTAAAATATGGTTTGATTGCGATCCCAAAGGTTACATGATAGTGAAAAGGATTTTGATGGTATACAAGTTATTATTTATTGCTTTAATCCCAATGAAAGCAGCGCTATATACAAATTGCAGAACTAAATGAAGAAATTGGAATCACTTAAGAGTATTGGATTGGATAATTTCACATACTGGCAATACGAGTCTAGGCGCGCGCGCCATTATTCTATGGCTAGAAATTGGTCTCAATGATTTGGGATCGAGGGGGATTATCCCTCTTTATCCTGCCTCATCTCGTGTAGGCCTGGACAGCCTTCGTAGGTGGGCCCCATCCGTCGTCTACCCCGACCGCAAATGCGGCCGGTGTAGGCGCTTTGTGGGACCTCCTTTTGTCCTGGCTGGGCCCCGCCGGCTAGGGCCCTTTCTTCTGGCGCTCTTCTTGCTTCGCCGGCTCGTCTGTGTAAACCCCGGGGGTAGTGTCATGTTTATGTGTGGTATGGTTGGGTAGGGTAGTGCGGCTATGCAGCCTGGGATGCGCTTTGCTAAGGTGGCCCTTAGGCTAGCGCGGGAGGGGAGGGTTAAGGAGGGTATGGGGTGTGTGTGTGTGTGTGTGTGTGTCGTTGTCTTCGTTTCTTGATCCTGGCTGTCTCTGAAACAGAAAAGGTTAGCGGGCAGGGGGGGGGTCATTGGGGTGGTCACCCAGGGTCAAAAAGTTGGTGTCTAGGTCTTTTGTGTTTGTCGGTCACGTCGGGTACGTAGTCAACGGCTTGCCTGAGGAGGGGATTGTCATGTCTAGCGGCTACGTCAAATCGTTTCTCCGCGTTTTGTCTTATTGTCTGTGTAGCGTTTGTGTATTGTAAGTCTCGTAATATGTCAGTGTTTCTTACGTACCAGGGCGCGTCGGTGGCCGTGCGGAGGGCTATGTTTTCCACAGCCTGTAATGACTTTAAGTGGCTTTTTGCCGCGTGACCCCACGCCGTGGAGGCGTAGGTTAGCTGCGGTTGAAGTACCACCTTGATAAGCGTTCGCTTATTCCTTAAACTGAGGGTGTTTCCACCTTTGAGTAAGGGATAGAGCCTAGCCCTGGTGGTCTTCGCTCGCGCCACCGTCTCCACGATGTGCGGTTTCCACGTGAGACGCTGGTCCATCGTCACGCCCAGGTATCGTGTTTGTCGATTCCAGGAGATAGGTTCCTGGGATAGTGTCAGTCTGTCGAGGTTTTGTGGGATTTTTCGTTTGGTAAAAAGGATAGCCGAACTTTTGTTGGGATTAATTTTGACTTTCCACCTGTTGCACCAGGTTTCAAGTTGGTCTAAGGAGTTTTGGAGGAGGGAGACGGAATATCTAGGATCTACGGATTGGGATGTGATTGTCAGGTCGTCGGCGTATAAGTATATGTTGGTGTTGGGGGGATGTGGGATGTCGGAGTTGTAAATGGTGTATAGGTGTGGGGACAGGACGGTGCCCTGGGGGACACCGGCCTCCATGGGACGGGTGAGTCTAGGCGATATTGCGATAAAAGGAAAAGTGTAAAGCAGAATAGAAAAATACCTGGATAGGTACATTTTGAAAAACTTGTGGAAAGGAGTGACCGTTAAACATAATTATTTTTATTATATGTATAATTTATGCCTCAACAACTTCTCATAAAGATCGATCATTCAAATGGAAAAACATATTTTTAAACTAGTTGGTTAATAACAATATTCTGGCCATTTAAATTACCGTTATAAAAATTTAAATTAAATTTTTAAATAAAATAAAACTTTGTCACTTAGGTCATTATTTTAACTTCTGACCAGGTCTAATCTATAAAAAAAAATTTGCTAAACGGTCTAACACATCTAGGTAGTTATACATAATTGTACAATTCTATATTCTATAAATACCTACATAAGTATGTATAGAAAGAATGCTAAGAAAATAAAACTAATATTTCACAAAATTGAGTTTTTTTTAATAATAAATTAGGTTACATTATAAAAAGAAAATATTACGAAATATATATGTGAATATTATGTTAGGAGATGGTAAAAACTTAAGTAATGAGTTAAGTGTTACAAAATAAAACAAAATGATGACTAGGTCAATACAAATCCTTAAGGACATATACTTCTTTATAAATAGCTTTTGAGGAAGCAAATGATAAATTTTGACCTTTTGCTAGTCATCCACATTGAAAAAAGGTAGATTCTTTTCTGCTCTGTTGGTGATTTTCAAATTTCTTGTAACTGTTTTACAATGACAATTTATTCATTAATAAATTGACGAAGTTCTTCATGAATTAATCCACGAATTTATTGGTAAACAGTGTGGTTTTACAATGCTACAGACTTTCTCAAGTTTTTTTGACTTTTTTGACACATGAATCAGTTCTACCAACAAATCAAAGAAGCAAATAAATTTCAAAAATTTCTCCTTTCCACTCATAATTTTAGTGTTACAACAGCGGTACCGTTTTGACACATATTATATAAACATTAGTTTTTGTAAGTAACAAATCAGTAAAAACATTGCAAAACTAGTACGACGACGACGCCACACAATTATTTACATATTATTCCAGTAACAAAACCTCATTACTGATCTGAGGCTGGAAATCTGTTGGGTTGGTACTTCTAAACTTCACGAAGAAATTGACGAAAATTAGAAGAACTAGATGAATAAATTCATGAAGTTATTTTGCAGCAGACTTGGTGCATTACACTTGTCCAATTTATTAATGAAGCGACTTCATGAATTAATTCATCAATAAATTGTCAATGTAAAACAGCTTTTAGTAAAATTGTTTCTTTGCACCTTTACATGCAAAATAAATATATTTTATAAAGAAGTAAATTGGCGAGGTACGCAAAAAGAGTTATCAAAGTTTATATAGGGTGATTGCACCAATTGAGGAACACTCACCAGTAAAGGAACACTCGCCTATATTTTAAGTAATATTAAGGATTCCTTGTGATTTAAAATTTCCGCTTATTTTTTATATATTAGGTTGGTATCTTATTTTCCGTTATGTAAGTTGGTTAGCCTGTAGGTCATGTGAATTTATAACAGTTATCATTTGAAATCTGGGCAAGTTGGTACACCCAAGTCTGACTGCTCAAGAATTAAGAACTTTAAAAGGTGAGCTCTTCTTACTTTTCAGTTATTAGCTTTGGTATTAATTTTAAAGGAANTGTTCACAACAATCAGTCAGCTCTTCCATGAATTTTGTTGAGAGTCTGCAAAATCTATTATCGATTGTAGTACAAATTGAATTTTTTTCTTTCTAATTTATTAATTCATCTCCATTAACAATTAAAAGGCATAAATGACTTAATATGCCAAAAGAGAAAGAATAAATAAACTGGAATTATTTCAAATGTGGTTTGATTGCGATTCCAAACATGATAATGAAAAAGTGAAAAGGATTTTGATGATATAAAACTTATTATTTACTGCTTTAATCCCAATGAAAGCAGCACTACACAAATTGCAAAGCTTAACGAAGAAATTGGAATAACTTAAGAGTATTGGATTGGATAATTTTACACATACTGGGAATACAGGTCCAGTCAGTATTGGGATAAAAAAAAAAGTGTAAAGCAGGATAAAAAAAACTACTGGATACATTTTGAAAAACTTGTGGAAAGGAGTGACCGTTAACCATAATTATTTTTATTATACAATTTGTGCCTCAACAACTTCTCATAAAGATCGATCATTCAAATGGAAAATTTTTTTTTTAAACTAGTTGGTTAATAACAATATTCTGGCCATTTAAATTACTGTTAGTTAAGTTATTGATAATGTCCAAAAATTTATTAATCGTCTTGGCTACTGTCAGGCAGCCAACGGTGCACAATTTGAACATTTAATTTAGTCGATTTTTACATAATCATTATCATTTTCAGTATTGTGAAAATTAAATTTATAATTTATTTTCTTGAAATTTTTGTTATGTAACACCATAATTTTTCATGATCTGTGTATGTAGAATGACACGCTCTTTCAAATGGCATGGTAAAAATTGGGGGGTTGCTATTTAAAAAAATTGTCGATGACGTCATATCTCGAACAACGATGACGTCACAAATATGTGTCGGTTGTCAAAAAGTGCCTTTTTTAAATGCAAAATGGACGTGCCAGGGGATTTTTTCGAAAACTTCTCAATTTAAAAAATAATGAATTTATTCGTTACTTTTCGAAAGCACTGTATAAATATTAGTTTTTGTAACAAATCAGTAAAAACATTGCAAAAATGCAAAACTAGTACGACGCCACACAATTATTTACATATTATTATTCCAGTAACATAACCTCATTACTGATCTGAGGCTGGAAATCTGTTGGGTTGGTACTTCTAAACTTCACGAAGAAATTGACGAAAATAGAAGAACTAGACGAATAAATTCATGAATCATGAAGTTATTTGACAGCAGACTTGGTGCATTACATTTGTCCAATTTATTGATGAAGCGACTTCATGAATTAATTCATTAATAAATTGTCAATGTAAAACAGATTTTAATAAAATTGTTTCTTTGTACCTTTACATGCAAAATAAATATATTTTATAAAGAAGTAAATTGTCGAAGTACGCAAAAAGAGTCATCAAAGTTTATATAAGCCTAATTCTTAATTATTACAATATTAGTTAAACATCTAATTATCTTTCAAAAACCACTAATTATCTTTCAAACATTTTCAAAACAACAG